TGGCCATTTTAAAATTTGCAATAATTCACACTTAAAAAAGTGATCACAAATAATAGCTAAAAACGCCGAAAACTCAATATTTAAGGAGTTATGGCCATTTTAAAATTTGCAATAATTCACACTTAAAAAAGTGATCACAAATAATAGCTAAAAACGCCGAAAATTCAATATTTAAGGAGTTATTGTCATTTTAAAATTTGCAATAATTCACACTTAAAAAAGTGATCACAAATAATAGCTAAAAACGCCGAAAACTCAATATTTAAGGAGTTATGGCCATTTTAAAATTTGCAATAATTCACACTTAAAAAAGTGATCACAAATAATAGCTAAAAACGCCGAAAACTCAATATTTAAGGAGTTATGGCCATTTTAAAATTTGCAATAATTCACACTTAAAAAGTGATCACAAATAATAGCTAAAAACGCCGAAAACTCAATATTTAAGGAGTTATGGCCATTTTAAAATTTGCAATAATTCACACTTAAAAAAGTGATCACAAATAATAGCTAAAAACGCCGAAAATTCAATATTTAAGGAGTTATTGTCATTTTAAAATTTGCAATAATTCACACTTAAAAAAGTGATCACAAATAATAGCTAAAAACGCCGAAAACTCAATATTTAAGGAGTTATGGCCATTTTAAAATTTGCAATAATTCACACTTAAAAAAGTGATCACAAATAATAGCTAAAAACGCCGAAAACTCAATATTTAAGGAGTTATGGCCATTTTAAAATTTGCAATAATTCACACTTAAAAAAGTGATCACAAATAATAGCTAAAAACGCCGAAAACTCAATATTTAAGGAGTTATGGCCATTTTAAAATTTGCAATAATTCACACTTAAAAAAGTGATCACAAATAATAGCTAAAAACGCCGAAAACTCAATATTTAAGGAGTTATGGCCATTTTAAAATTTGCAATAATTCACACTTAAAAAAGTGATCACAAATAATAGCTAAAAACGCCGAAAATTCAATATTTAAGGAGTTATTGTCATTTTAAAATTTGCAATAATTCACACTTAAAAAAGTGATCACAAATAATAGCTAAAAACGCCGAAAACTCAATATTTAAGGAGTTATGGCCATTTTAAAATTTGCAATAATTCACACTTAAAAAAGTGATCACAAATAATAGCTAAAAACGCCGAAAACTCAATATTTAAGGAGTTATGTCCATTTTAAAATTTGCAATAATTCACACTTAAAAAAGTGATCACAAATAATAGCTAAAAACGCCGAAAATTCAATATTTAAGGAGTTATTGTCATTTTAAAATTTGCAATAATTCACACTTAAAAAAGTGATCACAAATAATAGCTAAAAACGCCGAAAACTCAATATTTAAGGAGTTATGGCCATTTTAAAATTTGCAATAATTCACACTTAAAAAAGTGATCACAAATAATAGCTAAAAACGCCGAAAACTCAATATTTAAGGAGTTATGGCCATTTTAAAATTTGCAATAATTCACACTTAAAAAAGTGATCACAAATAATAGCTAAAAACGCCGAAAATTCAATATTTAAGGAGTTATTGTCATTTTAAAATTTGCAATAATTCACACTTAAAAAAGTGATCACAAATAATAGCTAAAAACGCCGAAAACTCAGTATTTAAGGAGTTATGGCCATTTTAAAATTTGCAATAATTCACACTTAAAAAAGTGATCACAAATAATAGCTAAAAACGCCGAAAACTCAATATTTAAGGAGTTATGGCCATTTTAAAATTTGCAATAATTCACACTTAAAAAAGTGATCACAAATAATAGCTAAAAACGCCGAAAACTCAATATTTAAGGAGTTATGGCCATTTTAAAATTTGCAATAATTCACACTTAAAAAAGTGATCACAAATAATAGCTAAAAACGCCGAAAATTCAATATTTAAGGAGTTATTGTCATTTTAAAATTTGCAATAATTCACACTTAAAAAAGTGATCACAAATAATAGCTAAAAACGCCGAAAACTCAATATTTAAGGAGTTATGGCCATTTTAAAATTTGCAATAATTCACACTTAAAAAAGTGATCACAAATAATAGCTAAAAACGCCGAAAACTCAATATTTAAGGAGTTATGGCCATTTTAAAATTTGCAATAATTCACACTTAAAAAAGTGATCACAAATAATAGCTAAAAACGCCGAAAATTCAATATTTAAGGAGTTATTGTCATTTTAAAATTTGCAATAATTCACACTTAAAAAAGTGATCACAAATAATAGCTAAAAACGCCGAAAACTCAATATTTAAGGAGTTATGGCCATTTTAAAATTTGCAATAATTCACACTTAAAAAAGTGATCACAAATAATAGCTAAAAACGCCGAAAACTCAATATTTAAGGAGTTATGGCCATTTTAAAATTTGCAATAATTCACACTTAAAAAAGTGATCACAAATAATAGCTAAAAACGCCGAAAACTCAATATTTAAGGAGTTATGGCCATTTTAAAATTTGCAATAATTCACACTTAAAAAAGTGATCACAAATAATAGCTAAAAACGCCGAAAATTCAATATTTAAGGAGTTATTGTCATTTTAAAATTTGCAATAATTCACACTTAAAAAAGTGATCACAAATAATAGCTAAAAACGCCGAAAACTCAATATTTAAGGAGTTATGGCCATTTTAAAATTTGCAATAATTCACACTTAAAAAAGTGATCACAAATAATAGCTAAAAACGCCGAAAACTCAATATTTAAGGAGTTATGGCCATTTTAAAATTTGCAATAATTCACACTTAAAAAAGTGATCACAAATAATAGCTAAAAACGCCGAAAATTCAATATTTAAGGAGTTATTGTCATTTTAAAATTTGCAATAATTCACACTTAAAAAAGTGATCACAAATAATAGCTAAAAACGCCGAAAACTCAATATTTAAGGAGTTATGGCCATTTTAAAATTTGCAATAATTCACACTTAAAAAAGTGATCACAAATAATAGCTAAAAACGCCGAAAACTCAATATTTAAGGAGTTATGGCCATTTTAAAATTTGCAATAATTCACACTTAAAAAAGTGATCACAAATAATAGCTAAAAACGCCGAAAACTCAATATTTAAGGAGTTATGGCCATTTTAAAATTTGCAATAATTCACACTTAAAAAAGTGATCACAAATAATAGCTAAAAACGCCGAAAATTCAATATTTAAGGAGTTATTGTCATTTTAAAATTTGCAATAATTCACACTTAAAAAAGTGATCACAAATAATAGCTAAAAACGCCGAAAACTCAATATTTAAGGAGTTATGGCCATTTTAAAATTTGCAATAATTCACACTTAAAAAAGTGATCACAAATAATAGCTAAAAACGCCGAAAACTCAATATTTAAGGAGTTATGGCCATTTTAAAATTTGCAATAATTCACACTTAAAAAGTGATCACAAATAATAGCTAAAAACGCCGAAAACTCAATATTTAAGGAGTTATGGCCATTTTAAAATTTGCAATAATTCACACTTAAAAAAGTGATCACAAATAATAGCTAAAAACGCCGAAAATTCAATATTTAAGGAGTTATTGTCATTTTAAAATTTGCAATAATTCACACTTAAAAAAGTGATCACAAATAATAGCTAAAAACGCCGAAAACTCAATATTTAAGGAGTTATGGCCATTTTAATATTTGCAATAATTCACACTTAAAAAAGTGATCACAAATAATAGCTAAAAACGCCGAAAACTCAATATTTAAGGAGTTATGGCCATTTTAAAATTTGCAATAATTCACACTTAAAAAAGTGATCACAAATAATAGCTAAAAACGCCGAAAACTCAATAGTTAAGGAGTTATGGCCATTTTAAAATTTGCAATAATTCACCCTTAGAAAAGTGATCAGAAATAATAGCTAAAAACGCCGAAAACTCAATATTTAAGGAGTTATGGCCATTTTAAAATTTGCAATAATTCACACTTAAAAAAGTGATCACAAATAATAGCTAAAAACGCCGAAAACTCAATATTTAAGAAGTTATGGCCATTTTAAATTTGCAATAATTCACACTTAAAAAGTGATCACAAATAATAGCTAAAAACGCCGAAAACTCAATAGTTAAGGAGTTATGGCCATTTTAAAATTTGCAATAATTCACCCTTAGAAAAGTGATCAGAAATAATAGCTAAAAACGCCGAAAACTCAATATTTAAGGAGTTATGGCCATTTTAAAATTTGCAATAATTCACACTTAAAAAAGTGATCACAAATAATAGCTAAAAACGCCGAAAACTCAATATTTAAGGAGTTATGGCCATTTTAAAATTTGCAATAATTCACACTTAAAAAAGTGATCACAAATAATAGCTAAAAACGCCGAAAACTCAATAGTTAAGGAGTTATGGCCATTTTAAAATTTGCAATAATTCACCCTTAGAAAAGTGATCAGAAATAATAGCTAAAAACGCCGAAAACTCAATATTTAAGGAGTTATGGCCATTTTAAAATTTGCAATAATTCACCCTTAGAAAAGTGATCAGAAATAATAGCTAAAAACGCCGAAAACTCAATATTTAAGAAGTTATGGCCATTTTAAAATTTGCAATAATTCACACTTAAAAAAGTGATCACAAATAATAGCTGAAAACGCCGAAAATTCAATATTTAAGGAGTTATTGTCATTTTAAAATTTGCAATAATTCACACTTAAAAAAGTGATCACAAATAATAGCTAAAAACGCCGAAAACTCAATATTTAAGGAGTTATGGCCATTTTAAAATTTGCAATAATTCACACTTAAAAAAGTGATCACAAATAATAGCTAAAAACGCCGAAAATTCAATATTTAAGGAGTTATTGTCATTTTAAAATTTGCAATAATTCACACTTAAAAAAGTGATCACAAATAATAGCTAAAACGCAGAAAACTCAATATTTAAGGAGTTATGGTCATTTTAAAATTGGCAATAATTCACACTTAAAAAAGTGATCACAAATAATAGCTAAAAAAAATATCTATTTGAAACTGACATCAATGTTGTTTTTGGTGTTTTGTTTTATTATTAACAAAAAATATACATTTAGAAATAATTATTGCTTGAATTTCACTTCACTTATAACATTATTAACAATTAACAATATACATATATATTTAGATAACATATACAATATTTTAGGAAGAGGAATTTGGTTGTTTGCTTTGGAAGGAATTTTTGGGAGGGAAGAAAACTTGTTTAAGTATAACAAACCGCATTTGGGATAATTAATGACCCTAACGTTCACCTTGGGCGACATTTTAAGGTTTACATTAACCTTTTCTCTGGCGAAGATTTCTTGCCGAACGGTTTCATTTCGATTAAATCGGTTTTCAGTGAACGGAAACTTTTGCGCAGGGTATTGGACATACGTTTCTTATAACTGGTACTTGTTATGGAAATCTTGTCATCATTGGCCATTTTGGGGGATTTGGGTGAATCATCCGAGGAGGAAGCGTCGCTGGATGTGGCATTTCCCTTAAGATATTTTCGATTGAAATGCAATTGGGGGGTGCCCCACTTTTTGGCTATGAAAGCTTCAAATTCGGGATCAGTGTCGGAGCCACTGTCTCGTTTTTTCTTAGCCTCAAGTTTTTCATAGAATTCACGTTTGGATTTCTCCAGTTCATCTTCAGAAGAAATGCCACCCACCGATTCGCTTATGGTCGACTCAGTGTCGGCAAAGGGTATATCATCCAGACGTCTGGTGACTATAACATCAGAGGGGACATTTTTCAGGTTAACACCTTCAATGTTGGTCTGTTGGAAATCGATGGGTAATTTGCCGTTGGGACTGACACTGCGCCAGGTGCGGGATTTGCGTGGTGTCTTCACCTCCAAAACACGTACTTTATAGTGTAAAATCTGAAAGCAAAGAAATATTAAATAAAATTTTCAAAAAATAATTTTTATAAATGCCTACCTTTTCTTCATCCAAAAACTTGGTCAAGTCGCTGATGGGAAAACTAACACACGTACCCTCGGCCAAAATATCCGAATCATATTCACTGTGTACGGGGAATTTTTGTGTCACCGCCAATGCCTCAAAATCTTCATTGTACAGCGTGACCTCATAGGCGAATTGCAGTTTCTTTTCCTTTTGCGTCGATGTACAGGTCATGGTGAAGAGAATCCTATCCTTGTCGTAAATCTCATAGAAATTAAACATTTCATTGTAGACCTCAAAGACGTAGTAACCGGTTAGAGGTTTCTGTTTTACGCCCATATTCCAGCTGAGATCAGCGGTATCTTTGGTGAAAATCTTTTCAGCATGTTCTGCCTCCAAGTGATCTTTCCAGAAGGCTTCGCGTCCATTCCATTGGCAATTGCCCCAGACGCGACCCATAAAACATTTCATCGGTTTGTAAATGCATTGTTTCTCGTGCCATGAGAGTAGATCGTGTTGTAGACGTACCGTACAACCGCCCGACGCATTTGAACACTTGAAATGGGCCTTCGAGCAGAGAGCTTCAACGGTCAGTGAACGAATGTTGGTATAGCCTTCCTGTAAAGGAAAAAATTAGAAAAAAACGTTGAATAGAGGTAATGTTTGGAATTTTTATAGTATTTCTTTATTAAATCGGAAACATTACAACCAGGAGGGATGATATTGCACTAGGAAAACTGTTTTTTTTGTATCTTAAATTTAATCACTTGTGGGATTCTCTTACTAATTTTCGGTAAAATCGGTAAAATTCAAATGCTGTACTATAAGATTGATTGCGCCAAAAATTAGCGACTTGATCGACTCTCCGTGTCGCAGTGGCCGAAAAATGGCTTGTGAGCTGAACATATCGCAATATTCCATTCGGCAAATATTGAAAAATGAGCTCGGGGTAAAGCCATTGAAATTCCAAAAAGTGCCAGAACTTACACCGCAACAGAAAGAAAATTGACTCAAAAAAACTATAGAGTTGCTTCGCTTGGCCGAAAGTGATGAACTGCCGAATTTGGTTTTCTCCGGTGAGAAAACATTAGTAGTCCAGCAGTTTGTAAACGAACAAAATTATCATGTTTACTTTCCAAAGAGGTCAGCTGAAAATGTGCACCTTCGGTTGGCCACTAGAACTCATGCGATGGTGTGGGCCATGGTGATGGTGTGGGCCGCCAGAACAGCCGATAGTCGCTCTCTGCTCGTATTCATCGACTGTGGCATCAGAGTAAATGCCGAATATTATCGCGAAAATATTCTGGAGGGTGTATTAAAGCCTTGGGCACGCAAACATTGCGGTCGCATACTTTGGACTTTCCAACAGGACTCAGCACCATCGCACGCAGCACGCGCCACCCAAAAACGGTTTCAAAATGAGGTTCCTCGTTTCATTTCCAGCGCATAATGGCCACCAAAATCTTCGGATACCAATCCGTTGGGCTATAGTGTCTGGAGTATTTTGGAAAGCAAGGTTGGCATTAAAAAATACCAAAGTGTCGATCACCTCAAGCAAGGGTTTCGCCGGGAATGGTCCAAATTGTGAAAATTATGGCGTTTGACTTTGCTGCAGTTTTTTTTTTTTATCTCACCCTGTATAGTAGAATTTTATGGCAAATAATTTTGTGGAATATTTTGGCTTGCTGGGATCACGTTTTATGAATTGTTCTTAATCATGTTTTGAAAGAATGAACAAAAATTCCCCATTGTTGACTCGACCAAAATAATTCAAGTGTTTTTTTATCTGCAATTTCGGCGAATATATTATGAACCTAAAACAATGAGTCTTAATCCGAGAATTTCCAAAAATTAGATAGTAGGAACAAGTTACTTTGCGATGTAAAGATTCAAAACTACTATTCTATTTCACCTCTACTTTCAGAATCTGCTGGAAACAATTCTGTTTTGTCACACAGAACCAAAAAGACACATTTGGCGGCTCCTTCAAGATTAACATTATCGACCAAAATAATTCCCGTGATTTGCTACCATATTATTGCGGAATGCAAGGAATATTAATCCAAAATTTTCAAAAATGTGAAAGAAAAAGAGTTTGTTCCCTCTATTTAGAGTTCTTTGCAATGTAAACTTTTAAAGCGCCGGTACACCTGACTTATATTTTTAGCTCTACTTTCATAATCTCTGTAATCTCTCATAATCTCTGTAATTATCCAAAAAAATAATTTTTGAATTTTAACTTAAATTGTAAAATTTCGCTGATAATTCTGGGCTGTATCTGTTATCTGGTACCAAATATTATTATTGTGGAGTGCGTATTACGTATAAGAGGGATTTAAACCCTCAAATCAGATGAAACATATATATGAGAGCTGTAGTTATGTCTGAACCGATTTTCTCCAAATTTAATGTACTTGCTTCTACACTAAATTCGGATGGATGTGCCAAAACTCACGTGATTCGGATTAATATTGGCCATTTGGTGCACAATTAACCCGAAATCGATTGAAGTTATATATGGGAACTATATCTAAATTTGAACCGATTCTCACCAATTTGAACTCAGAAAGTAACTATGGGTCTATCTCGCACCTTTCTCCAAGTTACAAACAAATTCACAAAGATATAAATGGTGTCGGGTATAAAAATTATAATCTTTCTTAAATAGAGCTGTATAGATGAAAAATATATTCCTTATTATTTTCATTTCACATTTTCATAGAACAAGAATTGAGTCTCAGTACTAAAATCACCTACGAAAAAACCACTTGGCCTTCTACTAGAATATTTGGTGAAGATAAAATAAATAATAAAAGAATAAAATTTAAAACGTAATTTATTATACAATTACATAGCGTTTTTGCCATATAATAAATATATTTCAAAAAGGTATTAATTATTATTTCATTTGTACGCAAACGAACGAAGGAAGAAGATTTTGATCAGCATAAATTTTTTTTATGACGTCACTCCTAACTACTTCAAGTCCTCGCTATCTAAAAACATTTCGAAAAAAAAAAAAATGCTAAATTGTTGTGTCTATCAGCACTTGATATTTTTTTTTTTTAATTTTATGATTACATTCTAACCATATACTGACGTCAATAAAACTGTTTATGTATATTTGTAGCATGCGTTTTCGATTTTAACTAGTTTTGCTTTCGGTTATTTAGCGGGGAATTACAAACAATTTTGAAGTTAGCAACAAGTTGGCAGTTTAAGTTCGTCTGGCCCTAAACGATGCGAAATTATGACTTATTGTTCTCAAAATATCAAATTTTTTATACAATGTTTCGCTACCGCAGCCGGAATCTATTATGATCATCATTAAAATACCGAATATCGGGGGGTACCATTATATGGGGGCTATACCAAATAGTGGACCTATACATACAATGCTTCGCTAGGGGAGCAAGAACCCATTATGACTAGCAAATACCAATTTTCAAACAAATCCGTGAAAAAATGTGGCAAAAATCATCAAAATACCAAAAATCGAGAGGTACCGTTATACGGGGACTATACCAAAACGTGGTCCGATATATCTCATTTTCAATACCAACCATCCTAGACACAATATAAATTGTTCTGCTAAATTTTGAAGTTCTACGTCAAATAATGTGCTGTATCGTGATTTCAACAGACAGACAGACGGACATCGTTAAATCGACTTAGAAATTTATGCTGATTATGAATATATATACTTTATGGGGTCTAAGACGAATATTTAAGGATGTTACCAATGGAATGACAAAGTTAATATACCCTCCTTTCCAAGGTGGAGGGTATAAAAACAAGTAAGCAAAGGCTATAGTCGTGCGGGGCCGACCATATGATGTCCTACAACACTACAATATATTGGAAGCCCCTTATCTCCAAATCCATTTTGGAAGATTTCGCTTTTGAAATGATGTCATAGAGCCCTGCCTAGATGATACTCTTAGCTTTTTATTTGGGGCATATGCCCAATATTTACGCACTCCGTCGTGTTGTAAGGTATGTGGCCCCTTTTTACCCGCCAAATATAATGCAATGGACATCCAAAATGCTAGACTTCTTTCCTGTCCTTAACTCTCTTCTCATGCAAAATTCCGCATCGACCTGTAGAGCGACTACAAAATCACGATTTTTTTTATTTTTGGTCCATTTGAAGCTCTCAATAAACACCTAAAAAACAATATTCATTAATTCTGACTCCACCACATGCAAAAATTTCGTGAAGACCGGACGATAATTGCGACCTGTATATAATACCCTGAACACATAGTGTTGTGAGGTGTAGAAAAACTTTAGAAAATGTGCAATACAAAATTGTAAATCAAATTAAAAACATCGCATGCGATAAAAAATATGACAGAAATTGAAAAAATGTTACAAAAAAATATTCACTTTTTTATTGGCATATTTTTACGCGATTTTTTTCTATTTTATCCTTTTTTAGCAAGAATTGATGAGAATTTGGCATTCCGAATTGATAAGAATTGTGAAAACCAGTCCAGCGGTTCTTGACTTATAAGCGGAATAATTAACCTCAATTTCCCTTACACATAGGTTTTATCCTTTTTGCTGTATATCCGATATCTTGACCTCCAAATTGGTAGGCCCAGCCTTAAACTCTAAGTCCATGCTAAATTCCGCGACGATTGGTTTCATAATTGTGGCCTGCAAAGCAACAGCAAAGTCCGAAAATTTTTCTGTTTTTGGTGCATTTCAACCTCTGAATATATTTCGATCATCTGCAAAAACAAATGGGTTCTATTCTGACCCTAACTCCACTTCCATTTTATATTGTGTAAGGATCCGGCCATAGTTACGACCTGTAGCGTGATTTCTAATTAACATGGACAGATCGGACGGACATACATAGCTAGATCGACTCAGTTCGGCGAGATAGGAAGATCCATATATACTTTCCGATATCGGGGGCCAATATTTCGAGGTGTTACATAATTTTTGGCCCAATCAAACTTATAATACCCCCAACACATATTCATATCTGATGTTTGACTAAGGAAAATATTTAGATATAGCAAGTTATATAGAATCGCCGACTTGTTTTGTAAGTTATGACAGATATAAGTATTAGAAATTTTGACGCTTTTTTGGTTGAGGTACCACAACGGGTTGGGCAGACATCTATCATCTTCACAACGGATTTTGCGTTAGCAAAAATGTTTGGATGTGTGAAATTTGAAGAGAGTTGGATGATTATTTTGCGTTTTATGGGCGTTATGTTTTACAAAATCTCGAACCCTACAGGGGGGAGATACCAGAAGAAATTGTCCGATCTCTACCATCTTTATTACACATCTTGTGGTGTTAGAAATATTAAAATTTACCAATTCTGAATGGATTCGGATGTTAATTTGTCGTTTGGAGCTTCACGGATATTCAAAATGTTGACCCTTTGTGGGGTAGGTGTCAGAGGGAGTGAAAATATTAGAATTTGCAAAGTTGGAGTAAAATCGGATTATCCTTTCTCTTTCAGTGCAGTAACATATTTTCTTTGAAAATTTCGACCTTTTCTGGGGGAGGTCGATATTCGTTCACCCAGACAGATAGACCTCGCTAGTTCGACTCCAAATGTCCTGAAACGGATTTGGTCCAAAGAGACCTAG